TTATTAAAAAGTAATGTTTAAGAAGACCTCTTTCGGTTTTTCTTATTATTAAAAATCAAAAAAATTGTCAATATCTATTTTACAATTATATTAAAATAATTGTATATACTTACTTGATTTCTTCCATGGTATACTTTAGAATATTTTTTTGTGTATCACTCCATAGTTCTATAAGAATAATTAGGGATAAGACTTTTAATATTACTTCTTTCACTTTCTGCTGGTATAAAAGAGTCATTAAAATTCCCAAAAGGCAGTAATTCTGTCGAATTTCACAGATTTGATCGTATATCCTAATCACAATTAAATTATATTCTTTTTCCTAGATTATATATTAAAAAACAACGCACAGAGATAAAAAATTTAAACACGTGTACCCGGTATTATTGATAAAATTATATTTTTAATAAAAACCATTCATTGTGAAAAAAGACGCATACCTACCTATTCAAATTCTAAAACTGGCCAAGTAAAAAGAGAAGTACTGGAACGTGGACAGTCAACAAATATCTTGAGTCGAGCATTATTAGCATTTGAACACAGATCAGTGAGATAAGTGTGGAACTAGGATTGTTAAATAAACATGTTGATTCTTCTCAAATTCCACTAGCTTTACTTTCGAAACTGGTTTAAAATGGAAATTCATGAGGGTTGTTTCATTGAAATTCATCTTTTATTAAATCATCAACAGGCATTTAACCAAATTAGCGTTGGAAACAAATTTAACAACCCATTTGACATTTTTCTTTATTAGTATTGTTTACAAATGACACTGACAATTTTTGTGTACTGAAGACATTTCATCACCAGAACAGATTCATATGACGAAAACACGTATCCAAATGTAAAAGAGTTGCAAACTCTTAAATATACATTTATTTGTATCTCTATCGTATTTTTTTTATAACATATATATCAAATTAGTCAATATTTAATGTAAAATAAAAATATGTCCGTTATGTGCGGACTTCTATCGCTACAATTAAAAATCATGTCATATCAATGCAAACGATTTTAAAACAAAGATATAAAACAATTATATCTAGTTTAGTATAGGTATTTTAAATAAAATAACATATATATTAGATAATAACACTTAGGTATATAATAAACAAAATCTAAACATCATGTAAAACTAACTTTAACTTTGTCATATTAAAATTGCTTAAAATTGCTCCGTCCCCGATTTAACACAAAGGAACATTTAAGAAATCTCTGAACTTTGTTCTGAGTTCTGAAAGATGTCGTTAGATATAAAATGGCTTAAAAAAATTAGTCAAAAAACGTAATAAACCAAAAATAATTATAGAAAATAGTACTGACTATACTATAATACTGACTACACTGACAAATTAATGTTCGGATATAGGAATCTAGGTAATAGGGATGAAGAGAGAAATTAATTAATTAGATGTACCTTCTCCTGAAATCATCTTAGTTAAGTAAAATTATAAATATGTTACAAGAATGTCTGACACACATAACTAATGTATGTGATCGTAATAATATGTAATTCACGTTTTTTGATAAAATTCAGACACGACTGCTAAAAAATAGGCGCTATTCGGAACTCCTATGATTTAATATTTTTTTACTATCAACCAATAGAGGTGATTCACGTTCGTAGTAAGTCTTCTAATTAATTTTGATATTTCACAATCCTATAGTAGTTCGCTAAGCGCGTTTTTTTTTAAATCAGTATTATACTCGTATGTGTGTGTGTGTTTAAAGTCATAACATGACATTTATTTATTTTGTATTAAAAAATGGAGCACATAAACGGGGTGGTCTGTCAGCAATTTGGTATGTCGAAAATACAATTATCAGTTTTAATTTAAGTGTGATTAAAAACTAAATTAAGTTAATTTGCAATTTTGAGTTAGTTTATGGTTTTGCCATTTTAATTTTTGAAATTGGCTTTTTTGTAATTTTTTTAAATGGTGTTTTCCTTTGAAAAAAGGCAACAAGAAAAATAAAAAAAAAATGTCTAATAAAATAATTGAGGAAGAACCTAAAATATTATTGTGCTTCAAGAATAAATTAAGTATCTTTATTTTTTTTAATGTCATATAAAAAAGTTATTTATAAATTATTATTGATACTAAATATTGGATAGTACATCCTTTTTAACCGTTTTAAACTAGTTTACTATAGATAATATTTATCCTAGTTCATATCAGTACCTATACATATATGAAAATATAGGCATATAGTTAAAATACAAATAAATTAACAAAATAAATGGACATATAATGTAAAATTAAGTGAAACAATTCAGTCATTTCGTTGAAAATATTCATCTACCTAATAAAATGTATTGCAAGTTAATGTTGAATGCTTTTTTACTTAGAATATACCAAATTTTTTATTTGTATTGTGCAAGTGAATGTCGTTTTGGCATGTCAAATTTAGGATATTTTTGTGGATTTCTAACAAAGTTTAATATATATAAATTCCCGAAAGGGTCATTATTTTAAATTTCTTCTCGTGAGTGCCCCTGTCATATTGTCATACTGCCATCGTCATACTTCATTCAGTATTTTCCTCTAAATTCAATAATTAATAATTTTTTATCTATGTTTACCACACATTTGAATTTTTACACATTTCTGGTTTAAACTTGAGTCCAATATTGACATGCTGCTTCAGATTGTATTGATTGTAATCTTTTAACACCTTATGCTTGAGGATGGCCTTGGTAGCCAAAACTAGTCACTTCACAGATTAAATACATTAAAATTTATGTGGTACATATTTTGTTATTATTCTTTGAAACAATTTGACCATATTATAGAAAATGAATAATCTTTCTTCATGAATATATCTAATAGTTAATAATGGTAAATATTTAATATAAATAAATATAATATGGCGTCCATTAATTACTGAGGTGTTCAAGGGGGGAGGGGATTAAGCTAAATCTTTACAAATCTCACTTGGGTGAGAGGAGAGGGGTCTTTGTAAATCTGACGTAATTTTTTTCTAGTAGAAAACGGTGTAAAATTGCGTGAAAGTAAAGTTACATTAAAGTAAAGAATGTTTCTAGAAATTTTATATTACGTCAATATTCTCAAATATTAATCTTTGTTAGTCTTAAATAAAAGTAATAGAACATATTGTGTTTTTGTTTTTTTTAATAATCCAACGCGTTTACATCCGAAACACAAATTTTGAAAAATCTCATTTGAGATTAGTTGAGGGGGGAGGGAGTTGAGGAAAATCTTACGAAATTTCACCAGGGGGGAGGGGGGTCAAAAAATCCTCAAAAATACCTCACGTAATTAATGGACGCCCCCTAAATAATACTTTCTTAAATAAATATTAAACATAATAATTGCCAAAAACTACAAAAGAAACATTAATGATGAAAATTACAAAAAAAATCAATTAACAATGACTATATTTATTTAAATTTAATTATTTTTTTTGTAATTCAAAGATGTAAATACTTTAATTTTCATTTTTTAAATTTTTATTTAGGTATTATAATTCATTGCAGTTAAATCATGAATATTTTATCGACCAGTATTTATTAAAAAGATCTTTTTAATCTAGGATAAGAAATTTATTTTTTTGTATGGATTCTGTAAATTTTGGGTAGAAAATTAAATAATTTAGGATCTAAAAAAGTAAAACATTTTTGTCCTATAGTTTTTCTTATTAATGAGGTCTTAACAAGTAATAAAGAGTTTGGGCTAGTCCTGTACTGGTGATCAATTTCATGTAATATGAGTTCCTTATTTTTATAAGTGAAAATTAAAACTGAATGTCAATATAGCTGACGAACATCAAGTATATTGGCCTCCTTAAAAAATAGATGAGCTTTTCTCAAAATTAATTTTGAAAAGCGTCTTTAAGAATTTCCAGAGACTTTAAGTCAACTTGATACAACCCACCCCATACAAGTATACCATACTGTGCTCGTGGAGGATGCACAATATACCCAAGTGCTGTAGATCTTTGCTCACCTCACAACTTTTCGTATTCACAAAGCATTTTTAAATAGTTTCCTATGTGTAAATCCTTAAAAATAGAAACATAGAGAAAAAGTAGAGTTGAATGTTGGCAGGAATTTTTCAGTCACACTTTGAATCGTTACTGAGATTAGTAAAATTAAAATACATGAGATTATGTTTCCTCAAATCATTAACAAATTATTCGTTAATAGTTTTCTGGAAAATATAAAAAAAAATCGATAGAAAAACATGCAAAGAATGTCATTTATCAAGATTAAAATAATTAAAAAATATAATATACTCTTCACAGTTTAACAGACCCCCTACCCTATTTTTAGATTTTTTCTAAATTAATAGGCTTTATCCCCTTATAGAGCTAGATTTTCCTGAAGATTTCAAAATGATAACGTTTTTTGTTTGTGTGTTAGGATTTTTTTAATATTTCAACCTCCCTTAACTCTCCATTTTTCAGATTTCATATCCTTATTGAGCTTGATTTTTACTAAAAATTTCATTTGAGTTCAACTTCCTTTAACCCCCTTTTTTATTCATGTTTCGTTTCCCTATAGAGCTTGATTTTTCTTGAAAATATCATTTTTAATTTTCATTTTTGATTAATTTTTTTAAATTTCAACACCCTATAACCCCTATTTTCAATCAGATGTTTTTCAAAATCAATTAATTTCGTCCACTTATAGAGTTTGATTTTTCCTGAAAATTTCAACTTGATATCAATTTTCGTTTTCGACTTATTGTACGGTAAAAAAATGTGACACCTGACAGACATTTTTAAAAAGTGTTTATATAATTTGGATCAATATTAAAAATTTTTGGTTCTCGAAAGTAATACAGACTACTAGTCACGAAATATTGCCCGATTCTATTGGTCATTCATTATAATGATGATGATATCTTTAAGGTTTTAATGGTTGAATTTAAAGATGTTTTGTGAATTAGACTATTAATGTTTGAATAAAAATGTATAATTCATTTTAAATTATTTTCTGATACGTGTAATATTAACACAAACGTTTTTGTTTACAGGAGAATATGTGATAAAAGGGGAGGCCGATTCTGAGAATAGCGAAGAGGTAAGCGATTCTGTTGATCTTACCCTCGAAGATCTCGCCTTACCACTACCAGAATTCTTTCTCGATGAGGCCCTACGTCTGATTGATTTAGAAGATGAAACGTCACAGGTGAGAAAAGAAATATTTCAGATACCTTCACTTATTTCGACACAAATAAACCGATCAGGATATATTTAAGCGGTGTACATTTTTTCCAGGAGAACACAGTAAACCTCAAGGAGTTGGAAAACCTTCCAACTGAAACAAATAGCACATCTGTGCAGTCGGTTGTCGAACCTAACGCCGCAGCTGATGTAAAAGCTGCGTCGAAAGCTGATGACATCTCTTCTTCTTCCGAGGAGGTACTTCCTAAAGAAGACAGTGACGACGACTTCGATTTTCTCAACATGATTCAAACACCACAGTTCCACCACCCTCACCATAGGGCTCCGTTCCAGGTAAATATTGTTTAATTTATTGTCTATACTGCTCAAAATAATTTATGGACTTTGATACCGTACGGCAGAAATAATGATAACTATTTTTGAATCCCCAAAGTGAAAACAAATGTATTAAAAATTAAAAAAAAAAACGTCCTGGGAGGAAGTCCACCTTCCATATGCTAATTCTACCCACGTTGCCTTACCAACTGAGCCATCAGGACATTAGACATAGTGCAAATTGGTAATTTGAATATTATATTCGATTCTAACTCGGTGATAAAATATTGTTAATTTTTCATTAAACCACTAATCAGCATTGTCCAGGTTAATATGCTTAATTTGTTTTGAGCAGTATATAACAGATTATATCACGTGTCATTTTAAAAGTCCTAGTATATGAGACACATACATCGTGGGTCTTTATAAATGGTAATTAATAAATATAAAATTGGATTTAGGAGATTTTAAAGGGCTTAAATGGTTAATCCATTTGTTCTCCGATAAAATCTTGTCATCGTGTTTATTGGATAGGGATATTATTGTCCTACCTGTTTTAAATAATAAGAAATCTGGGTGGTATTTAGATTGAAGTTATTAGCTTCTAAAGAGAAAAAAATAAATATGATAATAAATAGTTAATCATAAATATAAAATAAAAATAACGATTGAACTTTTTATGAAAATGTCTTTTATGTTCATCAAAACTCCCTTCAACATTTCCATTAAAATATATTGGAAAGTAAATGAAATATCTAATAAATTTTTTGCGTTCATTGGAAATTAGCTCGAAAATAAAGTCTTTAGAATTGCAAAACATAGTAATTGAGTAATTGCAATCTGAATAAAATGTTTTTATATTCTATTTCTACCATAATGAAAGTTACATTATATATTTAAAATGTGGTTCACAAGATTTGCTAGCTAGATTATAGAGATTAATTAACTTTTCGATTAATAACATATACCGGAGGCTCGTTTTAATATAATAGATACTATATATGCATTTTATTTTATTTTAAAATTAAATAATTTGCTTTAGCGTGGAATTTAATTAGCTCTGCAGAATCCTCGTCGAGCAACGTGTATTTTATGCTAGTATAATTTCTTCTTTATTCAAAATTCCCACCCGACTTAATAATTCTTTATTGTCTGAGAGATAATACAAGATTCCATGGACACAGTTTAATACTAATTTCTGCTATCGTTTTCTACTAACTTTATTTGCATCTTATTAGACGAATCGTAATGATTAATGGGTTCCACAGAGTATCATAATGGGTTCCACAAGGTAGCACTCTAGACCCTTTACTCTTCAACATTTTCATTAATGATATTCTAGAAAAAATCGATGTTGAGTGCTTTTAATACGTTGATGATTTAAAAATATATTGCGAGAGTTATTATACCCGACTTTTTAAGAATATCTGCCTCATTGAGGAATGGTGCTCTATAAACATGCTTACACTGAATGCTTCCGAGTGTTGTAATGTCCTAAACTTTGTTACTATAAGCTCAATAATACCACTCTTCAATGGCCTCAAACTTTTACTAACTTGGAAGTAACATTTGAAGAAAATATTTCATTCTTGCCTCATATCAACAATATCTGGTCTATTTTTAAAACCATACTTTACGATGTTTGTTTAAGTATAAAGTACAAAATTAATTATAATGTTTCCTTAGGCACTGCACTGTCTGTTTATATAAGATTTATTCAGTGCAGACTGCATATTTTCGTGGGAAGGCCTCTTATCGCATTAAGGGAATGTCCTACCGTGAATACACTGACAATAATCACTCAACCTGCTTTACCTGTCGCTTCAAGTAGTTTTTGAGACTGGAAACATCTTGCAGACACCGTTTTGTTTACTTTAGGCCGTTCGATTGCTTTTCTTGCAAATCGACCACAATGTGTGTGTTAACAAAATATTTTACTGTATTAAAAAATGACAAATTCCAGATCTAAAATAAATATGGATTATTTTTGAATCAAGGAAAAATAAAATTCACGAGCTGTCTCTAAAAAAAACAGGAATAATTATTAGGGGATTTTTAGTAAAATTATTTAGGGTCGATTCCACCGTTGTGTTAAACGGAGATTACAATGACATTGTTAATGTAAAAATGTCATTTTAAACTTCGTTTAACACAACGGTGGGATCGGTCCTTAGAGATTTAAATATCTACAATATGAAAAGATCATACACGAGGTGATATTGATATTTACCCATTTAAAACGATAAAAAATTTCCAAAATAAATTTTATTATTCAACATAATCATACATTTATTAAAATGTTTATAAAAATATAACAAATTCTTTGTTTCGGTGCGCAAACCACCGCTCAACGGCATAAATGACTTTTACCTTTCAAGTGTTTCTTAAATTTTAGTAACAAATAATAATCTGATGGTGCTAAATACGGGCGAATGGTCAACCAATTTCATAAATGTTTGGATCACACTCTAGCAGCTGGTCGCATTCCGATCCTCGATAGCTATTGAACGTCGTAAATCTGGCAACACGGCGCGTTTTCCGCAATATGACCAATGATATATATCGTTATAGAGATTACTCACTCATATTTCAATAGGACTACGAAAAGCGCCTTTCCAAGTGTTCACTGAATAAAATTGTTCTGTCCCAAACGTGTTTTAAAATAAAATTTCAGCATTTGAATATTTAGAATCAAAAAATAGAATGACCTATTTTACTTCAAGACACGATATTATGTTAGGTGTTTAAACACATATTTTTTGTGTGTTTTATAGTTGAGATTCCATATCGTCAAATAATATTAAAAGATCTAAACAGTTTTATAACATGGAACAGTAATAATATAAAATGTACATTAAAACTGAGACATATTGTGAATATCTAAGCCATAAAACATAAAAAAATTATTATTATAATAAAAATGTATTATTGATTATACAGAACACAGTTTACTTGATTACTGAATAAAATTAATTTTATAAATTACTGCCATTTTATAAATAGGACCACATTATATTTTTTGTTAAAATGGGCATTCTAATTTCATAGAAACATCCCACACTAGTTTTAATTAACAATATAAACTATTTGTATCTGTAAGTTGGGGTAGGTGGATACTTCCACAGCACTTGGGCCTGATAAGGCCCATTGTGCATCTTCCAGGGGTATATACAACCTGCCTCTCAAATTGTCAAAACCTGCTGGTTACGGCTGAGAGATGTCTACAGACAGCCACATTTTCAGAGCTCATCAAAGTCCTGCAGGTTATAAACCAGTCAAAAACCTGCTGGTTGACGCTGAGGGGTGTCTAAAAAACAGCAATCTTCTCAACTAATCAAAGTCCTGCGGGTTATTTACTCATCAAAAACCTGCTGTACAGACTACAGACATCTCATCTTCTCAGATCGTCAAAGTCCTGCAGGTTGTTAACATCGCCGAGAGGTGTCTCTAGAATATAGCTGCTTCCTTTTTTTGTAGTGGCCATTTGGTGGGCTTCTATCAGCCCACAGGGCAAGCAATATAAACCGTTAATTACTATCTATAAAATGTACATATAAATCTGTAAAAATCTTAATGACAAGAAAACACTATGCACAGCTGTACAGTACAAGCAAAGTTTACTCAAAATTGTACTTAAGTACTCAAAGAGTACTCAAAAGTGTACTTAAGTACTCAAAGTACTCGGTAATAGGTACACCTGAGTACCTTTATCCTGATGGGACTCAGTACTAGAAAAATGTTGAGTACTTTATATTTTAGAGCACTCAGTACTTCTGATTCCTACATCCGACGAGTAATAAGTACGATTACCGACTCGCACAGGACCAGGTAATCCTCAGTTTTTGTTTGTTGTGTCTTATTCACAGAAGTACACTGCTTACTATTATTATGTTTTGCCAGACTGTACAGTGCATATGTGTAGTGTGAGTTGTTAGAATCACGAAGTATTATTTGGGAAGTTGGCGAGCGCACCCGAAAACCCCGAAAACTATAAAGTCGCTTGTTTTGGGGTGCTTTCCCAATAGTTAATATGTTGTTCCCGAATCCAGTCGTTTATGAAACCCCGGCCTGTATTTTTTGGTACTCCTGGGTTTGTGTCTGGTTCCGGTGTTTCTTCTGACCCTCTTTTTGCAAGTTCGTCAGCCTTTTCGTTGCCTTCGATCCCTTGGTGACCTGGCACCCAAAATAGTTTTACTCTATTTCGGTCTGCCAGTGTTCTTAGTTCTTCTGCATTCCCATACCAGCTTCGAAGTAATTTTGTCTCGATATGGCCTTAAGTGCCGCTTGGCTGTTTGACATTATTTGAATATGCTGATTTTTGACAGCTCTTTTATTGTTCGTTTTTGCACATTGCAAAAAATACCGAGGAATGTATTCCTATAGCATAGCTATGGTTAGTAACAGGGTTTTTGGAGAATACTCCCACCCCAGTGCCTTCCGCAGTCTTAGACCCGTCTGTATACCAGGTTTGTTCCTGTCGTGTTGCATTGGGCTCCCTTATGGTGATCTCCGCTCTTTCCTGTATTAAAACCTCAAATGGAGTATTAAAAGAATACCTCTTGGTTATGTGGTCTGATCTCATGTCTAGCTCGTCTCCTGCCACTAACCTTGAGATACTCATGTGACCTGGCCTAATGTCAAGATTTCCCAGTGTAATCTGTAAGCACCTAATCTTGCCTCCCCTTGTATCACATAGTGAAGAGGTGAGAGTCCTACTAGTGCTTTCAGTGCCCCCGTTATTCCGAGGCAGGCAAGTCTTTGTACCTTGCTTAGCCTCATGATTGCTTTCCTTTGCTGTATCTTTGGCCACTACACCAAAGCTGCGTATGTTATTATCGGTCTCACCACCATGTAATAAAGCCAATATACCATGTCTGGTTTTAATCCCCATTTTTTTCCAAAGGATCGCTTTGCCATCGTTAACGAGGTGTCCGCTCTCCTTGTGGTTTTTTCTAGATGCTGGTTCCAGATAAGTCTCGAGTCAATCATAACCTCGAGATATTTTACCTCTCCCTTAA